TAGGACTGAATCTAGGTGACTAAGAATAAGCGATTCCAAAACAGTGAAAGTAAAGTAGTGTTTTGGAAAAGTGAGACACTCTTCAAAGTTTGCTGTAAGATTGATGTGCATAGCTTACATCAAACCTAGTTAACTGAAACTAAGATTTAGCCTCGGCTGGCAGTTCGTCAATAAAATGTATTCTTAAATGCTCACTCAGTCCAGGTTTTTTTCTGGAAAAAAATGAATTGATAGCTGAAGAAAATTGTCATGTGAGCTTATTTACGTTCTTAAAAACATAAATGAGCCACCATCTACCTCTTCATACTCTGCAGGCCAGCAGCACAAACGGCAGGGGATAATCTGCACTGATCTTCAACCATGGCTCAGTGGCAAAGAGGTAGCTTGGACCAGAGCCTATGATGTCTACCCTGTGTGCACAGATGTGTGCAAGAGTCCATAAGTACTACTCATGTTTCAAATCAGATTTCTGGGGGGCTATATTAATGTGCAAGTGAAGATACAACTGGAAAAACCAGAAAAGGTGCTACTTTGAAAAGGCATGTTGTCTCTTTGGAATGACAAAAAAATCTGACAGTCAAATTGGACAAATACAATCCCAAAACAAAAAAATGTATTGTCAATGCTAGACAATTATTCTGGACATATAAATCTGTAAAAAAACATTCTATGTAACAGTACTATAAATGCAATTTCCATGTAGCATGATTCTTTTGTGTAAGAATCTCCGATTATCAAATAAAGCACTTATTTAAAGAATTGACTTAGAGACTATATGAAGTGGCTGCATAGAAAATGACCTGTGCTTCAATAGGCATTCTGTTTAGCACAGGAAGGAGCTTCAGTGCTCTCACTATGGCGGTCAATGCATTACAGTGTGTGAGAAAGAGATATAAAGTCTCTACTTATCCCCTTCCACACACATATGCAGAGATTTGTGATAAGCAAAGGAACAACTGCTCCCTGACATGCAACCTACCGATAATTAACAGAGAAAGAAAAAAGTTGTACTTTGTGCTAATTGCTTCTAGACAGTCCCTCCGGGTGTGTTTACAATGAGAATTCTTTAGTCACAGCCCCCCTCACTGAATGTGTACGCTCACACACACACCCTGTAACTAGTGAGTACACACGCAAGGTCTAACCTGCTAAACTGGGTTATCAGGGAGCATGCAGCAGCAGTAAAATAAACTGAGCTGGAAGCAATCTTTAGTGCAAGACAACCCAGGCTGAAACTAATACACAGCAAGGGGGGTGGGGGGGGGTGGTGGCTTGGACTGCAGCCAGTCTAATTATGTTTGGCTCAGAAAGTGCAAATCTGAGATTTCACAAGGCTCTCTTGTAGGTCTCACTTAATTGTGTGCTGTAATTCAGGAGATGATCTGGCACTCGGAGGCCTTTCTGACAATCTGGGAAGGTAGCTTTAACCCTGGCTCTGAACACAAAGCACGAGCGGTTGCTCAAAAGCTCATGCTTAGCTTTTCGAAGAAAACAACCCAAGGAACTGCCTGTACTTCAGCAACAGCTCCCGCGTAATTAGCACCAGGAACATGAAGAATATCATGGCGGGTTGGGGGGGGTCAAAGCAACAGGACCAGAAAGAAAGCTGCTGAGTTCCAGAAGACGAGGGAGAAAGGCTTTCAGGCTACAGCTCGAGGACAGTCAGAGGGAGTGACCGGAGAGAAAAGGAACATCTGGGTAACCAGATTGTCAGAATTGTGGTTCAATGGTGAATCCTGAAAGGCGGCAGGGTTAGTTCCCTGGGCCTACAGATGAAAGTTTCATCATTGAGTCACTTTGCTAAGGCCTGAAACAGCATGAAGGCTGGTGCTGGAAGACGTGTGGCAGCCCAGTCTTGTGGTCAGAACTAAAATGTGATACCACGACCATTACAGTTTATTTCTCAATACCTCAGAAGATTGAGAAACAAGTAAATAATATTTTAATATATTATACATTTATAAAAATACAAAAATCACTGTGATACATAATTTGTCTTAATTTAAAAAAAAGCATGAAAGCAGTAAAGCAGAAAAGCATCTGAAAGGAGTACATATACACTACAACCTACAAAGTCTAGCTCTAACCAGCAAACACACACTTGCTCTACAACATACTCCGGCAGACTCCACTTCCTTCCTGCACTGCTCCTTTTTATGAATCAAGTTGCTGATTTAATTGTTTACAGTAATCCAGAATCTGGGTTAGCAATCTCTGGTTCTTCCAGTTTTCAAAAAGAGGTTTATGTAAATAGTTCTGTCACAGATGAGCTTTTAATAACAGGTTTGGCAGTTTAGTTCCTGGGGTTGGGAAGAGCAGAATTAAGAAAGCCCATGAATGAAGGCCTCTATTCACCCCCACAAAGCTCAGCTTCCTCAATGAGAACTTCGCCTGGAAGCAGGGGGACGGACTGGCTTTCCCACCACTCTGGCTTGCTTGCATTTTCCTTGGAAACGAACGAGACTCCACTGCACAGCACAAGAGCCCAGTACTGCTGGCTTCTTATATTTTGTGGATATTTGCATATAAAGATGTGGGGCTAAAACCTAGAAACAAAGCTTTTCTGCTTAATTCCCAGGAGCCTGGACTTCGCAGCAGGCTGTGAAGGATCAGACTGCCGTGCATTCAGAGTCTTACTGGTTTCCTACAGTACATTACCTGCTCTCGACCTGTAGAATGAGGTGGTCTCAAAGCAATATCATGAGGAATATTTTTCTAATTCAAGTTCTTACTGTTTAGATAAAAGAAACCTCACAACATGAGAAAATCTGCCATGCACTTAGGTACACTACATAATAATAATAATAATAATAATAAAATACACAGTACAGTCACCTAATAGAGTGCTCTTGCTTTAAAAGCATGAAATAGTACAAACACTTCCTCCTGTCAGCCCTGAAACAGACTGGAGTGTTTTGGCAGGCTCATGCTGTAAGCTCTGTATACACTGCTCTCACAGGCTGATTCACCTCCACGCTGAAACAATAACAAACACAGCACCAGCCTCTTTCATCAGGGGGTGTTGGTTTGGCTGTCCTGTAGAATATTGCCAAAGGATCCAGTTACACCACACAAGGAAGGGATGTCTTGTTACCATGTTACACCAGCTCAAGTAAAGTGGTAAAAATCTGAAAAACAATACTTCCACCCCCCTTCATAGTTTATGTTACCACAATGCAAAGACAGCTCGGGTAAATGAATGACTCAATAGCTCCATTCATAATGATTCCAAGCACTGCCTCCCAAGGCGGCTTTCTAGTTTCTCTTGATGGTCAAAAACTTTGAGTTCTCACCGCCCCAGTAATAATAATCATTAATAATTGCTTACACTTATATAGAGCTTTTCCGGACACTCCACTCAAAGCGCTTTACAGGTAATGGGGACTCCCCTCCACCACCACCAGTGTGCAGCCCCACCTGGATGATGCGATGGCAGCCACAGTCGTATCAGTACTCTCCCCACACATCAGCTCTCAGTGGGGAGGAGAGCAGAGTGATGAAGCCAGATCATAGATGGGGATTATTAGGAGGCCATGATTGGTAAGGGCCAATGCAAGTATGCATAAAACAAGTCTAAATACTGAAATACCTAAAAAGTGTCAAGAAACAAGCTTGTTTCTGCAATCTCTCTTTTTATCACTAATATATTTTAATACCCTTTTACAAAGCCTACAACATTTACAAAAAAATACATAACTGTCCAAAAATTAAAGTGACATTCTACGAGCCACATAAGGAATAGACAACACCACAATGTTTTCTTCTGTACAACACGTTTGATATAATGATGGCAAAACATACCACTGCTGCTGCTGCTGCTTTTCCTCCTTCTGTTTACAAATCTTATACAGAGGGAAAAATGTGCTTTTAACCAAACACATCAATGCACTTTTCAGTCAGTTCATAAAACCCTATGGAGCATTTTTCACCATATACAGTATCACTCTGATCGCAATGATGTCACACACACAGATACTAATCACCCCCCACTGCTTCAATTGGAAAACTAACCCAGATCATTTGGCCAAAAGTTGGTTACACTGGCATGAGACCTAACATAGGACTGTTTGGTCAAAATGCTCTCTGAAACATTTTTGTACCACTAATGTCAGTATTCAGTAACTTGTGGATATGACAGAGTGATCATCATAAAAGCCATTCTTTACCTTGCCTCCCAAACTTTCTGTCTATAGTGTGAGCTCTGAAGGAATGGAAAATGTTGCCCCCCTACCTACAGTGCCCTCCAGAATTATTGGCAACCCTGGTAAAGATGAGCAAAAAAGGCTATGAAAAAATGTCTTTGTTGTTTATCAGCTTGATCTTACACTGAAAATATGAGAGAAATCTAACCTTTCAGTGACTAAAACTATTCAAAAGAAAAAAATCCTTATAAAAAATAAACTTTTCTCAAAAACACAGGCATGGCATGCGTTCACAAACCTGTGTGGTGAAGACCAGACTTTGGTAGTGAAGACTCAGGTTTATGTTTTTTTTAAATAGGGCAGGGGCACCCAAACTCACACCTGATTGTCATCCCATTGATTGACACTCCTGACTAACCCACATACTTTTTCCCCAACAGACATTTAATGTTCCATCATTTTGATCAATAAATGAATGAAAAAGTATGAAGCCTGACTAGAAGAGTTTGAATATGAGTGTGACATGAAGGAGTCCAACACGCAGTCCAACTGTCCCCCATCAACTTGAACTTGGCCATGTAGAACAGATAGAGTTACACAACTCCCCTGTGCAAGAGGCATAGAGACGTATACAAACCTATCCATGTTGTTATACTTCCAAGTGCATCACGGAGCAGGGGAATATGCATATAACAGAGGCTTGAGAATACACAGAGAGATGTAGTGTTTGGCTAAAACGTTTAACTCGTTCGGATTCTTGGCAATTTAAAAGTCCTAGAGCACAACAGCAGGAAGATTTAGCTGAACGAATGGAAATAACTATATACATGCACATAAAACCAAAGGAAACAGGATTACTGCATGCCGAAACTGCATTCTGGCTGAGGCGCGAGGGGACAAAAGCTCTTACCAGTGCAGTACTCTTTGCCGCCATGCTGAGGCACGGTGATCTGCCGGTAGACGATAGGCTCTGCCTCCAGGATGTTCTCGTCGTGCCGGTAGCGCGAGGGTGTGCGCTCATTGGGGGTGCCACGAGAACGTGCCCCATTGCGGCGCTCGGAGGTCTCGATCTGGGAGAAGACAGCAGCCTTGTCAAAGAGCGCCAGGTTGCCCTCGAAGTCAAAGTCCGTGTCCAGGCTGTCCTCCATGCCATCCCCGAAACACTCGTCATCCTTGTTTTTCAGCGGACCGCCATTCTTCATCCCATTCTTCTTCGGCGTGGCCTGACTCTGCCCCCGGCTGCTTGACGACCCTGAGACACAGACAAGATGATGAGATGCACCTGTACTGAAAGTAACAAAAATAAAACAACAGGCCAAATAAAGACATTAAACAAGAGAAGCTCTTTCCAACAAAAAAACACGCTACAATACAGAAGAACAGGAAAATGTTTGCCCATGATTGCATCTCGAGCCCATAAACCTCATATCATTGTAAAGGAAATATTATAGTAGGAACAAAGGACAAAGGACTCCATTGTAGTAAAGGCACAAAACATTCAATGGGTATCTGCAACCATTTATTTTGATGGCCTTTTATCATATAAATCATATACATAGTCAGTATTATATTTAAGATTAACTACTTACCCAAACAAAACTAGAGAAACACTAATGTATTACTACTTTACAGTATTGTATTACAACTGCACCTTATTACACTGAATGCCTGGGGTTTGCTGATACAGTAATATAGCCAAACAGCTTCAGAAATGGCAAAAAATATGGCTTGAAAAACCACTTGTGACAATCACAAAAGCACCAGCATTATATAAAACATAGTATAATGCTGGCTTGGAAAGTAAGACAGTGAGAGATTTGTCATGTTAGTTTGTAAACTAAACACTCTGACCTGCTTTTTAAGTACCTTTGAAATGGGGAGCTGCATTTCCTGTTAGATTGGTCTTAACAGCATTGAAGCAAGCGACAGAGTTAACACTCCTGATTGTACGTGCTCTTCTGTCGGGGCACTGATTCAGCTGGTCTTGGACAGCCTGACATCTTCAGCGCCGTCTTTGGTCTTTGCCACATAACATTACTTGACTGTGGTGGGAACTGATTGGTTAATTACAAAAGCAAAAATATTAGGAAACAACCTATTGTTGTAAACAACTCATCTCGGGCACTGTTAATATGAAGATGGAGAAAACGGTAGCCGATCGATTTTCCTCTGTTCTTTTCTTAGCGTGAATAACGTAGACATGACAGACCTTTTAAATAAAGCCTGATGGAGTAGAGCAGCTCCCTGCCATCAAAGAGCAAAAAGAAAACAAACTGAGAACAAGAAAACTGGAAAAACCTGGTGTTCGACTCCCAGGTGCAGCGCTCTCACGCTAGGGCTGGAAGAGCGAGACGTGCTCACACGCGAGACCCGAGTGCCATCGCAGCGATCCCTCTCTCACGCTACGCACAGCGCCGCACGAACATCCTGTCCACACCGCCTGCCGTGGCATGTGCCCCACGCCGATGGCCTGGCACAGCCCCCGGCCCGCCTCTGCCAGGTCCTCGTCGTGCGCGAGGAGAAGAAGGGAACTTGAAATCGCACAACCCCCCCCCCCCCCCCGCAAACAGCCTCAGAATTCACCTGCTGCTACGAGCGGACTCTCCTCGTGAAGGAACAGAGATCAATACTCTCTCTGTGCCGCCTCACAGGAACATGCCTCCGCCACAGCACACGCACCAGGAACACATGGGAAACAGACTAACTTTGCGATCGCTATCTTAGTATAAAAACATCCTACAAATCCAAGTGTTTGTATCATTTGGTCAATCCAATACTTTAAATTATTCAGTTAGAAAAAAAACTGGCCATGACGCCAAATGACTTTACAACTACCATCCTATTTTTAATTTGTCTTTTCTAGCAGGTATCCTGGAATGGGCAGTAGCAGCTCAATTCCAGACTCATCTTGCATTTAATGAGCTTCTCTAACCTCCTCAATCTGGGTTTAGACAGCAACTGAAACAGCTCCTCTCAGGGTAACAATCAGCTGATGGCCTCTGGCTCTATGTTCTTCTTATGGCTTTAGGTGCCATATTTGATACCATGAATCACAACATCATATTGGAGCACATGTAAAATGCAGGTTACTTCCCTTCATTATTCTGCTCCTTCTGGTCATTTGGAATCAATAAACCCTGATAGAATCAACTTGTAAACACTGAATACTTTAATTCTGATGTTGTCCAAGAATATCTGTTCTGGGACCTCTTTATGTTGTCTCTTCGTCACATCAGTCACCATCGTGGCCTTGGGTATCACTGCTAAGCTGAAGACAGATTTAGGTTGTTAGGTTTAGTCATATGCAACATTTGCCGTTTCTGCACTATGGAGGTGCCCATGTAGCATTAAGATATGTATACAGCACAACATCCTTATGCTTAACTGTGACAAGCCTACACTCGTAAAATTGGTTTTGCAAAGTTGGTGACCTCCATGTTTTTGCAGATAGTGCTAAAGCCAAACCTGTGATGGAAATTAGAAACCTTAGTAATACTTTTGACTGTTTTATTATCTGAAGTGCATTTAAGGAATGTCTTCCACCTGTGTATCACTGCAAAGGTTTTAACTGAGCTTTATATGATGCTGAAATACAGATACTGTGCATGCCTCCATTTCATCAAGATTAAAGTACTGTAGGCTTACGAGCTGGCATATTCTCTAATGCTTCAGTACATCTTGAATCCCGTTCTCTGTAAACGGCACTGGCACTCAGGGAAATTTTGTGTGGACTTTAAGGCTTTCCTGCTCACATATAGGAATGTCAACTGCCCAAGATCACTGCATGAGTATATTCCAGTTCTTGATCTGAGCTGGGCTGAGTCAGGACTACCCAGTCGAACACCAGGCTCCACACAACGGGTGGCAGCACCTTCTAATGTGCAGTGAAAGTGAAACTCACTTGCCAAAGCAATTGAAGACTCTTAGCCAGCCTCTTCATTAAACGATTTACAGGCTCTGTATAATATTTATATTTAGCTTGATGGCCACTATTAAAGGTTATACACATGAATCTCTTCCTTAATATGGCAAGCTAATCTAATGAAGGCTTTGACAGTATTTATGCTATGGAACTATTTTCTAGAGGCTTTTTACTTCTGTATTGCATCATAATGGAAGAAAATAAACCTCTCAGAAATCAAAATGCAAACACTAAAATAGCAATTCTGACAATAAGGTGTGTTGCTATACTTCAAATTCAAATAGAAAAGAAAAGGATATTTGCAGAACAATGTCAGGTAAGAGATATGCACGTTTTTCCTAGAAGAAATCAAGTTCCTGAACTTTATCACTGCTGACCAACAGAGGGAGCTCTGAACAGCATTATCACTCCAGTGGAATACACCCTGGGTGAGCACATCTGGAATGCACCAAAAAGAGGAAAACATGAAGACAATACTAGCTTGCAATTGGACTGTTGTGTGAAAACTTTGGAAGAGGGTCTGGAATCATGTCTGACTGGACACTTGTCTGAACATGTGTTCACATTATCAGAACTGAAAGGAAAGCACAGACCTAAGAAACAGCTGGCAAGTGCTGAACATGTTGCACACTGTCAGAACTAGGAATAGGGAATAGTATACTTTGCAACATGGAGCTGACTAGCCGCAGTCACTGTAGTAAAACATCCCACAGATCTTCAGCTGCCTGGCTGCTAAGGGTTGTAGTTGTATTATTAAAAATAATAGTGACAGCAACCCTTAGTAACCAGACAACTGAAGACTATTTCCATCCCTAAGCACTTATTAGGGTCTTTTAAAATATTATCAGGGTCACTTATTAGGATAACTGATCCCTAATCAAGAAACATACTCATTCCTCGTAAGGATCAATCAGAAGCCTATCCTGGACACACACAAGAACACAACAACAGCCGAGAGAACCTCATTAAAGGCGTAAAGAGAAACCCCTGCAGCTCTCTGAAAAACGCTGGTTGTTACTGTGTGGAAAGCCAAAGCAAAGTAGAAAGGTGTGAGAATGACTTGCAAAAAGGAGAAGCAGCTTTCTGAGCAGAAGAGATCAGAATGGATCACCATCCCCATCACAGGAAAGCTTCAGGCTTTATCACAAAGGAAAGTGGTTATTTTGTTTTTATTTCAACACCAATACAAACCCAGATGAGATTATTTCTCCACTGCTGCATTCCACTCAATGTCAAAATTGTACTGCTTTCCCCATAGAGCTCAGTCCAAACAATCAGCTCAGCGACCCTCAGTCCCTTGGCCCATCACAGCTTCCTGGTGTAAAGTATTCGATTGCGTGTGAATTGGCCATCCCTGCCCGTGCATTGGAGCTGTTAAACCAAAGGCAGCCCAGCAACTTGTCATCTGGCACACGGCCCACGAGCTGAAAAAAGCCAAAATGTAAACAGTGCTTCCAGGATTTATTTCCTTGTAATTAGAGTACTGGGACAACGTGACTTCCTGTGGGGGTTTCCTCTGTGGGGCGGCTGCCAGTGGCGTGCTAGAGGGAGTGGGGGCTGAGAGGGGCCGGGGGCACGTAGGCCCTGCTTGCATAACCTCCCCCTCCTCACCGGTAGATCAGTGCGGGGCAGGGGTGAGGCATTGTTTATTGATTTTTGTCACACAAGTATTGTGGAAAGGAGCTCAGGCCTGTTCTTTAGCACGCTATGGGAATTGGATAAATCAAACCTTCTAATCCAAGCCATTCCTGGGGTCGGCAAAGAAATGCAATTACGATAACCCCAGCGAAAAAGAACATATGGTCAGAGCACCCAGCATGACCTCAGAGCCTGCCATGGTCATCCCAGTCAGGACAGCCCAGACAGCACACAAACCAAGGAAGAGTCAGGGTCTCAGCTGTATTCATTCCTTCACTACTGCAGCCTTGTTAAAAACCCTGCTTTTTTAACAGGCAATACAGGACACTTGTCTGAGATCTGCCTTTTTATTAACACTGTGGCATCTTTGAGGAGTGACACCAGGTTTTCCACATGCGTCAGATACCATGGGAAATTTGTAATTAAAAATAGTGAAACAGTTTCTTCTTGCCTTATTCTCAAAGAGCAGTGTTACTGGAGCAGTATAAAGCATGTATGCACAAATAATCATGACAAACACCAGTACTTAAGATTTTTCTAAGTAGACCATAACATCTGTGTGTCAGTGGAACAGTGGTTAGAACTGTTGCCTTCAAGCAATTGACCAGGGTTCAGCTCCCAGCCAGTACTGGGCTATAGTGCGTCACGCTTGATTTCTTTAGAGGTGCAGGGCTTGGCACGCTGGTAGCAAAACTAAAACTACTTATATAAACAGACTTAAGCATGTATTTTCCACACATTTACAATACCTAAGGCATCTCTGTAGTGCTTTTATGATCTTTCACCATTTGTCTATGAGCTGTTTTGGCAACTTTAGCCCCTTGAGGATTATTAAAGTGTATGGTGTCATACTGTATCTTCTAAACAATTTGGGAAGCAGTGAAAAAGCAAACATTAAGCTGTAGACTGCAGCAAAATACTGTTAATCTAGAAATGTAATGATTTAACTGAATAAAACACTAGTAAGGTTCTCAGTTAGAATATTGTTCACAAAATTTGATCACTACATTAAAAAGATACTTCTGCCCTGGAATCAGTCCAAACAAAATCATATTCATTCTGGGGCTACAGAGAATGTCCTATATAACAACAGAATTAAGGAACGTTTTAATCCTAAACAAAGATTATAAGGGAAAAAATACAAATTTTTAAAATCCTCAAAATCATTGACGAAATCAACCCAGCAGACATCTTCAGAGTGAACTACTAAAGACAGATCAGAAGACACAAACGGAAATTATGTGGAAGTGTATTTAACAGAACAGGGGGCACTTCTTTACTCTTTACTTACAAAGGTTGAGAGAGCCTGGAACTAGCTGCCCAGCAATTCTGCAGAAGCAGATAACCTGGCTTCTTTCAAGAGACAGAAGCTCAGATCCTTGAATTATTAGCTGATTGTGAAATAAGCAACAAAATGGCTTCCACTTGTTTGTAACCTGATGTTCTTACCAGATGTTTTAAATAGTGTGCATGAACACCATGCATTCTTCAGATAAAAAAAAATAGATTTAATCAATTTGGTACCAGAAGTCTGTCTGTTACACCAAGGTTATAGAACAAATCTATTTAACACAGAGCTGACATCTGCATTGAATAGGAAGGTTTTCATTTTCGGCAAGATACGCAGATCAATTAATTGCTAAATGTTGCAAGACAACACATCCTCACTCAGCTTATATAGAAACAGTTTCCATGCGAGATGAGAATGTGACAGTTATGCAATCACCTTCCTACTTGCAAGACCCGAGAGATTTATCATGTGGGATGAACTGGGATGACGTGGCACCTAGGGCTCAGAGACTATTGATCAGACACATGCACATGCCTCTTCAAGACAAATGGGACAGAATGGGACAGAAGAGAGCATCTACAGCCTGGTGCACAGACATGTTCTGTCAAACTATTCAGGCGTCACAGAGAGAAGCACTCCGCTCTCGCTGGGTCCCTGCCATGTCACCCTCCAGAGGAGCCGTACTTACAAGAGTTGTGCCGCCGGCGAAAGCCTTTGGCCTGGCTGGCATCGAGGTGGCGCTCCCCGTAGCTTTTTGAACACTGCTGAGGCGAGTTGAACCCCTCCTGTGTTCTCAGCTCACCTTTGCGAGGCACAGCCATCGGTGCACTGCTGGGCACCCCTGCTGCCCTGGCACTCCGGCCACTGTGGCCTGAGGAACTAGAGTCTGGCTGGCCCCCTGCGCTGCTGCCAGGGATCTCCAGGATCTTCAGCTCCTTGATGTCCATAGCACTGAAAGGAAGCCGAGAACACCCATCAGGCACCTGCACTGGGCGTGCCACCGTGGCACTCACTCATGAACACATTATTTTATTGAGGCCAGAAATTAAGTGTTCTGCAGAAAAGCCCAGCATTTATGCCACATTTTAGCATCATTCTACACAGTATCTCAAGCTTCAGAAACTCCATTTGAGGAACATAGCTTAATTACTGCAGCTGAAATCTCACTAGGCTAATTGTTTAATTTATTGGAAATAAAAATCCCATAACAGCTGGATTGTAAAACAAAATAAAGTGATATGATGTGGGTTTTGATGTCCTATGCAAGTAGCATCACCCAGAACGATCATTTAGGGAGACGCTGGTGTCAATGTTCAAAACCAACTTTGAACTCTTTATTGATATAGATTAAAATTAAGAAATATTACATAAAATTACATCTGCTGCAATTCAAAGGCTTATTTTCAGACCAGGTCTAGACTGAGAATGAAGCTCTAGAACACAGACCACATTGAATCTGTAAGAAACAAAAGGTAAGAAGTGATTCCAACCATCCACCCACTTCCTGACAGCTTCTTCCAATTCAGGGTCATGGGAGAGCCAGAGCCAATCCCAGCAAGCAACGGGCACAGTGGGAATACCCCAGACAGTACACCCGTCCATCACAGGGCGCACACTGACACTCACACCCGGGACAATTTAAAGACCCTCAAGACAAGACAGCTCAAAGTCATGCCACCTGCGGAAGTTCTCAGATGACTCTGCAATTGTGGGATGTATCAAGGGTGGGCAGGAGGAAGAGTAAAGAGGACTGGTCAGCCGCTTTGTGGAGTGGTGTGGGGAGAACCACCTGCAACTGAATGTAGCAAAGACTAAGGAGTTGGTGACAGACTTCAGGAGGAAGAGGGTCCAACCTACTCCTGTCTACATCCATGGGAGTGGTCTAAGAAGGGTCAGAGCCGACTTTACTTCTTGAGGAGGCTCAGGTCCTTCAATGTGTGTAGTAAAATGCTACATCTGTTCTATCAGTCGGTGGTGGGGAGCGTCATTTTCTACATGGTGGTATGCTGGGGCTCTGGGATTAGAGCAGTGGATTCTAAAAGGCAGAACAAGCTCATCAGGAGAGCAAGCTCTGTCATTGGGTCTGGCCTGGACCCCCTGGAGGTAGTGACCGAGAGGAGAATGGTGTCCAAACTAGAGGCCATCATGGACAACGTCTCCCATCCCCTCTATGACAGGCTTGCAGAAATGAAGAGCATGTTCAGCAATAGACTGATCCATCGACGGTGCGACAGGGAGCGCTACGGGAGGTCATTCTTGCCTTCTGCCATAAGACTGTACAGCATCCACCTTGCGTCTGGGCAGAGGCAACATTGACAGTGACGTTTCTGGACTGAACAGTAAACTGATACATCTGTTCTTTTTCTTTTCCCGTTTAAAACTGTTTTTGTGCAATATATGCCAGGGACCTGAGCAATACATTTATATTTATAATCATATTGTGCAATACGACTTTTTTGTGTACTGTTCTGTTCTTTGTGTGTTCTGGACTGTGAGTAACTCTTCTTAGTGCACTTCGCACTGTACTGATTGTATTGTATTATTATTATTGTATCATTCGTTACACTGTGTCTGTGTTGTCTGTGTTAAGCTGCTGTTGCACTCCAATTTCCCTCAAGGGATCAATAAAGTATCTAAAATACAGATAATTCAGATTAAAATCATCCCACTTTTTCAAACAGAAATAATCAAAAATTCATATTTAGGTTCAGAAAAGAATCCAATGTTGTTAAAAAATGTCAATGAAATGAATGTAAGAATTTAACAAAATAAGGAAATTCGTCAAGGATTTTTGGAAACATTGTCTGCTCTTAAGTTTACATAATGGCAGTAGATCATAATGGAAACGTACAAGTGAGAAAGAGACTAACACTGAAGTTAAATATTGTGTAAGCTCCTTTTGATTGAAACCTGAGTGAAAAGTAGTTTGAGACAATGCCTCCTGGAACCTCACCTAAAGGTGACTTCAGGCACCGGGCACTTGATCCCATTGTGAAAGGGCTGTCTGAGGGAGATGGTCTGGCTGGCCTGGTCCACAGCAGAGACCTCTCCCTGGTACATCCCCAGCGTCTCCCCACAGTTAATGGACACCAGGCTCCCCAGCCAGTCCGCCGCCATCCTGGCCTGCAACACAACAAGTGGCTTTTCATCCAACTGTCGGAGCTTCTGTGCATCGTGCACTACAGAACTGAACCCAAAACAGTATTCCTGTTAAACAAATGGTCTTAAAGATGGGAACTTAATTTGTCACAGTAGTTACAATACAGAATATATATAGTTGCCTACCATATCGTAGGCAACCTGAAAGTTTTATAAGTGTCTTGTCAGCAGAGTTGCTCTATCAAGCACGTTCCCCTGGATCTCTAATTTTCTTATCTTATTTCTTATCTTATCTAATTTTCTAATCTTATTTCCTCTTACCTGTGGGAGGTTAATGAAGCAGCCTGATGACAGCAGGTCATCAGGCTACTGAGAGCAGGTAACAAATGCAATGCAAAGTTTCACTCAGAGTTCCCTGGGTGTTATAAAGGTCCAAACACACACTCCGCCCCCAGAACATTTTTTGGATTTAATCATATTACACTGTATACCATGCTTAAACTTCACTCTGAATTCTCCCTGCACTTCATACACCTCACAATTTAAATAAAATCAAAATCACCAACAATCACTTCAAACAACACAGAGGCAGGTGCCTGGGGTTGCAGCTAAGGCTCTGGACTCCAGACCAGTCTTGGTTTCTCAGGTGAAGCTCTGCCTTCGCACCTGCAACCCTTCCACGTCCCTCGCACTGCCCCAGTAAATCCCCTGCTGTATAAACAGGTTTCTGCATGGTCAATGTAAATCAGAAGGATCTCTATTGAATTTAACAGGTGTAAAATAAAAAAAAAACAGTGAAGTACTAAACAAAACAATCATTACTTTTGTTTTGCAACTAAATGCACCAAACATGATTTTCTTAATCTAAAGGGAAAAAATGCAAAATCGTATCCACTGGATTCGAGTTTTATGTTGGTGGTGAAGAGACTGCATCCAGAACTGGGTTGATTCTTGACTGCTTACCCATGTTCGAAAGAATCCTCTAAACTCCCTTGCAAAGGGTTTCAGCAATAGCAGCCTCCGAGTGTACAAGACAACAGAAGATTGCTGTATCCACTATTGTACTGCAAGACCATATAACCATCAGTTTACCACATGCACCCCCGAGTCCAACAAACCCTCATATTCTTATACTGCATATTAGGACTACAAAAGTTTACAACACAATTGTATTGATGTACATGTGCATTGCTTGACGTACTGCTTCAGCATCACGCAAATGTTTTGCCTGGAGATATTTAAACCTTTTATTTAAAAAAAAAACTCAACTTTCTTATACTACTATGAAGAGGAGTTGCCGAGAGAAGGGCCTTCACATCAGCGAGCAGGACTAAAACACGGACCTGGTAAATAAACCAAGGAACAGACGTGACTGTTCCTGACTAAACTGCGTGTATTTGTCAATAGTTGAAAATTGAATGTAGTCAACCAGGGCTCACTACAGCATTAAAACTTTACGTTGTGTGCTACTACTACACAGCTCGTGAGTCCTATGGCTACGTCTTTCCATTTTAACCACAAAAGACCATAACTCTAACCCATGTTCTAAAATAAAAAACAGACGAAATACCTGCTTTTTGTTCCTCTCAAAAACAACTGAATACAAATCTGCGTTTAACTGAAATATAAATTCTATTCTGTATGTTTCCAGACCCCGAAGGCTCCGCTTTAATAAGCACCACAGTTCTTCTCCCGCTGCGGGTCACTTCCCGAAGGCCTCTCTGCGACTGTGTACGTCACTTCCTGCGAGTCCTGTCCTTTCCAGTCATTGGCTGAAAGAGACAGGCTGCTCGCGTGGGGATGAATTCTGTAATTTCGGTAGTAACTATTCCTGCATCTGTTCTTTGCGTCTGCACACAGACTGTGTTCTCAGGGATGTGAGCCGTCTGTAGCTAGATGCTACTGAAAGCTAGCTACCTGACTTCATGGGCCCTCCAGATAAACATTTCCCATGTTTTTGACCACTGAAATAGGCATACGAACAAAGAGAATATTTGTTGATCAAAGGGATCAAATATAGATGAGAATAAATGTGGTATATACTCTTATAGAATGTATGCAGTATGAGTTTAAGAAGATACTTTATAGAATGCATAGGCTACATGGAATAAGAAATTTGGTTCAAGTGTCGTGCGGGAAGCAAGTCGAAAAAACGTACACACTTTTAAACTCTGTGATATTATGCATTTATTCTGTTTTACGGTTACCGAACTATTTTCTCTACTGTAGCAGAATAAAATAAAAATGATCAACAAATCTCGCATCAAATGAGAAAGACTGACGTTTCTTTTTCTCGTATTGAAATAATTCTTTGGTTAGAAACAGTTTTTGAAATGTTGGTGCGTCTTTACGTGTTGGAGGACAGAAACCCGTGATGATCTGTCACATTGAAGGCTGAGAATATGGAACAGGATATGAAATGAAACCACTCGGAAGGGTAGAGAGAAGACACACAGCCCAACACAACTTCATGTCAAATTATCTGTAAATGGTTAGTGTTCTGCTGAAAGATTCAGAATACAAAACACGTTCCCCTTTGTTTTAAAGTTTGAAAAATCTAATTTAATTGGCGTGAAATACAAATGTTATAGGACACGATTTCTAGGTTTACACCGTGATATGATTCAGGTATTCAAATGGATGGTGCCGAGAAAGAAATATTTAAAGCTAGGGAAATATGGCTGAAATGGAGTAATAAAGAAATTAAGAAAAAAAGACAGCTCACACTACAAATTACATTAAGGAACCTGAGGTTAAAAATAAATGAACTTAATGCACAAATCAAAAAGTGACACTGACAAGAATATTGCATCAGAAGAATGTAAATATTTGTACATGCTATAAAACGAACTGTAAACATTGGAGTATATAGTTGAGATCATATGGGTCTGATATTAGAAGATGCAATATAGTTTATGTGCTAGATTAAATATTTAAATGTGAAAATGTTGACTGTCACATTTGAGAATGAAAATGCAAGTCAAAATGTATTTAACTAACCTATTTAGTATCAGTGCTACACAATATAATTGTATGTCTATAAAAATAAGAAATAAAAAAGACCGGGTTCATGTTCAAAAGGTTTATTATTTCCATCCAATTTATTACTTTATCCCATTTATTATCTCACAGAGATTAAATGTTTTTAAAAAAACAGGAACTCCTCTTATACATGCTGTAAGCTTGATACATGAATGAGAGAAAATAGCTTGATATAAGCAAGCACAAACCAAAATCATTTAAAAAGAAATTACCATAACTTGCATATATTTTGTTCTACAAGATCAGCGTAACTGCAACAGCTTGGAAAAAGGTCCTTCATGATTGCGTAATAAAATTCACAGATACACCTGTTAACAATACAAATGGCTGTACAATTGGCTAGAATATGTTTTTAGACAGAAAATAATAAAAGCTATTTTTAAGTCAATAAGGTACAGTATAATTCAGTCCCTCATCCCACAATTTGTTACATGTACAAAAACTGATATTTTGTTCAGGACCTGTAAAAGCCCTTAAATAGGTAAGTGTTGTTTGGTTAAGTACACTGTCACATTCTGGGATAAATGCCCCTCCTGGCAGACAAAGCATCAATATGTTACTCCACATATAAATATATGGCAAAAAAGACGAGAGACCTCAAACCTGGGATGGCTAGTGTGACACTTGTGGTCAATATTGAATCTTTCACAAATAACTCTACATTCTACATATACAGGTTAAAAAAAAAAAGATTTGTTCGAAAGGCGCCTAAGACACAAAGTATATTTCCTATACAGTGTCCATTGTTTCTGGGGCTTAACTTTGAGTTGTATACAATTACAGACAACCGAATAACAAAGCTCTTCCACATCACCAGAACAGGTTACAAACCGGTGTAAAGGCAAAAAGCAAATCACGTGCCATAAATCTGCGTTTGGATACAAGTAGCAAAACGTATTCAACTAAATAAAGAATACAATGAAAATCCATTTGCAACTTTGATTTAAGACCTAAATTCAGATTAAAAACTGAAAATATCCCCTTACCTATCATAACAAGAGGAATAAGACAACAACATTGAAACTGGTGCAAAGCAGTTTTAGAAATGCGCACAAACTGGAAGCTTTTGATCTGAGGCAGCACAGAACTCTTTTGATGAGTTATTTCTGATAAAGGAGCAAAAACCAAATAAGAGATTTACAGCAATTCCTACAAAGCTAAAAATCCCTAGTTTCAACATTTAAATATCAGAGTAATAATTACAGATGGGTTCCATTTTATACACTTTTGAAGGCAGACATCTGTTTTTAATTTTATTTTTCCCCATCAGTTCTACCTGATGGAACCACTCATATACAGAATGAGATAAGTCACTACAAACTGATCAGCCATCTCTGAAGTCAGCTTTCACACATTCTTACAGACCTCCTGCTGTACTGAAACTATAAAGTTATTTTTCTTTTGAGAACTGGTTTGGAAGTTCAGATTCAAGTCAACTGGAGCTTCAGTTAGAATTAATTCTCACACAGTTGCTTGCAATTACATTTTGGCTTTTCTTTTGAAAAGCAGCCCTTTACAATTTAAGAAATCTGTTGTGTACTTTGTATTGGCTTCTTCTGGCATTCTAGTCTCAAGTCGAAGACACATAGCTCCTGTTTGAAAGCCAGACCGCTGCGTCAGCAGCTCAACGCTATCAACCTCCAGGAACAGCTAGACACGGAACAGCCATCGCTCCCAGCGCGGCGAGGTGCACTGCGGGCTCCACGGCCGCCAAGGAGCTCACTCCGCGCGCACTCTCAGGCTGGCACGCAGGTGGCAGCGCTTGTGCTTCATGGTGAGGCCGTACTCGGGCGTCATGTCCAGCTCGTGGTCGGGGAGGCTGTGGAATGTGAGCTTCTGCAGGAGGATGGCCAGGAAGAGGAAGACCTCGGAGCGCCCGATGGACTCCCCAATGCAGCGCCGCTTGCCCATCCCGAACACCATCACCTTCTCCGCCTCCATCTTGTTCACAGTCATGCCCTCAGCGTCCAGGAAGCGCTCTGGGCTGAAGGAGGAGGGGTCCTTCCACGTGATTCTAATGAAAGAAAAAACAGGCTCAACTTGAAACAGGGCAGCCAACTTACTTTTCTGAATGGATTTAAAGGGTGATGCACTACCAGCTTTTCATAGCATTTCACTTCTGTTCTACTTTTGTCCTGTATGTTCTGTGTCCTGAAGACCAGGCAAAAGGCTTGAAATTGTAGATTACTAAAGAAGTAATTTTTATGCCTACATTAGCACACTTGACCTGGACCTTTAAATAATCGAGACTGCCTTCACAAAGTTTCCTTAAAAATCATCTTGCACATTGTTCTTGTTGTCGCAGCAGGTGAAATTGTACCTGGTTCTAAGTCCCAGAGTTTGAACAGTTTGGTTTTATTTAAAGCTGTGCTGAATGAATACCTGTATTAGACAACCTCTGCCAAAACCATAGAAATAACTGTTTTATGTCAATTATGGAAATCCAACTAGAAGTGCTTGCAGATATTATTTAGCTGTTCAGTTCATTAAAAATAATGTTTATAATGCTGATTAAGATTACTTTTGTTCTACTTAAATATCTTAAAAATCCAATAGCAAAGGCCTTCAGGTATGGTCCACTGCAGAAAGCCACACTCACGGGTCATGGTTGATCTGCCACTGGTTAATAAAGACACAGGTATCCTTGGCGATGTAGAAGCCGTTGAGGACGGTGTCCTTAGTGGTGCTGGAAGGGAGAAGCAGGCCGTAAACTGAGGTCATGATCACTCACAACAGGGGAGTAAAGCAGACTTCTTATACATATATTATATTCTTATTTGTCCAACAGCAAAACACCTCTTAAAGTTCATCGTATTAAGATTACTTGTGAAAATTGTGTTATTGGTCTGATTGGAGTGTTTGCCTATTTAATGCGATAGGTTTCAATAAGATATTTTTCAATGTTAAACAGATTAAGGGTGAAATGTATTTGCAGTTTTTAAAATATAATTTGCTACATTTATACAAAAGCACTTTGATTAAATCAACCACCTTTCCTGAACAATAATGCGTGCGAGTCGCTTTCGACTCCCGCATTGCTGCGACCTCTCAGAGGCTGGATGGCCAGTTACAGATTGTTAACATCTTAGATATGTCAGCTGCTTTAGTAGTTTATACAATTAACAAGAGAAAGAGGTTTCTGGGACATTCTTCAGTTTAGGATGTGAATTCCCTCTCGCCCATCAAGGGGTGCCGGGATTGTGTCCCGGCCCCGGAGGGGTCCTCACCAGTGCGGGATGGTGAAGGGCAGGAAGGAGGAGTGCCGGAACATCTCCAGGATGAAGGCCTCCAGGTAGGGAAGGATGGGCTTGTCCGACAGCCTGACTTCGCGCTCCCTGCCCACGTTCTCATCTGCAGGGGAGATCACAGAACCAGCTGAGCCAGGGCGTTCACCACACAAGCTGAGGGGCAGCTGGGGTGTGCAGAGCCCCAGAGCAGCACAGTCACGTAGTCCAGAGGCGAGAGCAGAAGGAGGCAGAATTGGATTACACAAAAAAGGCTCAACTTACCCAGCTCTTTCTGGATCTTTTCCTGAATTCCAGGATAGGCCACCAAGTACATGAGAGACCAGGAGAGTGCAGTGCTAATGGTGTCAAACCCTGGGGTTGAGGAGGAAGACAGAGCCTGATGAGTGCAACTGTACCGACAACCATTTACCATATTATCAGCCCTCGATTGGCTCAAGTAAGAATGAAAATGCTACAACTTATAATTCTGCACTATGTGTATGTTCTCTGAACTTTTAAAATAGTTTTAAGAACCAGGATTCCATTTAACCTTTAAGGACATGACAAACACATTTTTCATGAGTTCAGGACATTAGACAATTTTGATGCTGCTTTCCAGAAGCATGTTAAATATCCTGTGCATGTGAGTTTACTATAATAATGACAACCACTGAAAATGGTCAAGTAACCTAACATTTATGCCATAAAGTATTTGTTTTATTATTTGCAGTCAGGTTTCCAAATTTGGCTACCAGTGTCTGAGAGGACCCAGCTGTCCGACTCACCTGCTCCAAAAAGATCATTGACGATGCCCACGATTTTCTCATCAGAAATGTCAATGTTGGAGTTTTCATCCAGTTTCTTCTCCTGGCAGTGGTCAATCAGAGAGTCCGTGATGTCACGGATGTTGTTCTAAAGCAGACAGGAAATAACGTTAATCCAGAGCGCAGCTCCTTTCTCATTTCTACCCGCCCACCCTGAAGTTCATGCTGCCATTCCGCTACTTGGGCACGTCCAGCACAGCACATCAAACACTTTCACAGCTGCTCCTTGGTGTGCCTCGGTGTGCGTTACTGTGCCGTAGGTCATCCCGGTGTCGCCGGCGGGCAGCTCACCTTGTCGAAGGAGTTGTAGTGCTCCGCGACGATCCTCTTCACGAAGACGTTGAAGCGGCGGTTGATGTCCAGGAAGGAGCGCATGGCCTGGCTGGGCAGGAAGCGCAGCAGCGGGATGAAGTCTGCTGGGTTGCCGCTCCCCACCACCCGCCCGAACTCGTCGCTCAGGTTGACCAGGCGCACCAGCTCCTCGTGGTCGTGGCTGTAGCGGCGGCCGAAGCACATGCCGCAGATGACGTTGGCCACCGACACCACGATGTGGCGGAAGGGGTCGAAGCTGCCGCAGTTCTCCATGACGACGCTGAGCCGCCGCACCAGGTAGTCGGCCTCCTTGCAGATGTGCTCCTCCAGGGCGCAGGAGTAGTCGGCGCTCGTGCCCTCGAGCACAGAGAAGGAGCGCAGGGCGTTCAGGGCCAGCTTGCGACGGGTGCGCCACACACCCGCGTGGTCGGTGCTGAAGGCCAGGCTTTTGCCGTCGTTGATGAAGCGGAAGCTGTAGAGGTCGGGCCGCCCGGCGAAGTCGTCGCCCTGCTTGATGAGGGCCTGGCGCAGCGTCTCGTAGCTGCTCAGCACCACCACCGGCCGCATGCCGATCTGGATCTGCATGACATCGCCGTAGCGCTGGCTCATCCTGCTGAGGCTCAGGTGGGGGTTGGCTCCCAGCTCCAGCACGTTGCCGATGATGGGGAGGGGCTTGGGCCCCGGAGGGAGGCGCAGCCCGGCAGGGATGTCCTTGCGGAGGAGGCGCAGGAGAAGGTAGACGATGCAGAGCGTCACCATGGCGATCAGGCTCTCCGACACGGAGATAGGCCCCAGGAAGGGAAGACTGAGGAGTGCCATTCTGAGGAAAAAGAGCTTTTCTGAAGAATCTGTGGAGGAGAGGAAAACAAGCGTAGGAAGTTAAGGCTGCCTCAGTGAATGCAGCAATGGCTGAAGGAAGCGGTCTACCTCCTCTCTCCTGAAAACTAAAGGGATTAACCGAGTCCTAAAGGTGTGAAATCTTGCAGATGTATAAGGATCTTCAGTAAATTATTAAGTTAATTATTAAATAATACATGCAATTCTTATACAATGGCAAAAGCCACTGGCATCTCTGCAAGAGGAAATAAGTGCTTTTGATTTATGCTAAACAGTGGAGTTTGACTCTTTATTGTGGTGCAATTCTGGATTCTTATTCCCTCACATGCACACACACATTGTTTCTGCCTGACGGGACTAACATCAATTATTTCTGGATGTTATAATGTCAGAGCTCAAAACCAGTGTAAACAAACTGTACTGCAGCAGTTAATTATCTCACTTCAGAACTACGTGAAAGTCTGACTTACCTATGTCACTTTCCAACCACATTCTTGTTTCAGCACGAATGGAGAACACATTACAATTATTGCACTACAGTACATTTATGGGAGCTTGCCAGCTCTTGCTAAATAATCCCGCAGGTAAGATTTGTTAGAAATTAGGTAAATAATGCCGGTGCTTAAAAGAAAAGGATGAAAACCAACAGGAATTTCAGAAATACAAGAGACCGTCAGTCCTTAAACCGAAGCTCTCTCTGACGATATTCCTTCAGTTTGCTTCAGGGGAGACTACAGTACATTGTGTTTTCTATTGTGAACTCAGGTGACCAGCTATGGCTTTTTTTAAAAAACGGATCACTGACACTATAATCCAGGGACATTTCCATCTTGAAATCGTATCTTTTAAAACTGCTCTAGACCAACAGTTTTACACGTAGGTGTTAGGCAAATGCTTCATTCAGACAAGATCTGCAAGAGTATGACAGAAAGGCACCCTGGCTCCGAGCAGGACTCCTCCTTCAGCACGCTTTTACACCCTTTCATTATCTCTCAGACGCCGCTGTGCAGGACCCGCGCTGCTGTCACTCATTCGCACCCGTCCGCCCTAGAACAGTCTGAGTGAAAGGGTGAACTTCACCGCCTCATTCTGCCTCATTAACAGTTCACTGCCTGTGGCACTAGCGGGGTACATTGAAACAGCTCGGATGCAGACCTAGGGAATCTATCATAGGAAACTTCTAACACACAGCATTACGACGCCAGCGTGTTAGCCATCAGAGCTCCTGAACTGGAAGACCTGTCGCATTGTCTTAGGGGGGAAAGGGGTCGCGGAGTTATCTTGGTACCCCAATTCAGACTTGCGGAGAAAACGCAGCAGTGAGCGTCTCTGTATATACAGTACACAGAGCTCTTTGCCATAGTGAAATCAGTGTCCGACCCAGATACTGCATATAGACGTACAGTTAACAAGTATACAGATAATAAAGGTTTTCCGATGGTTTGGACAAACGTCTGTGAATTGAGTTTATCTATACATATGTCTATCAATCACCACGCGTGCGAGTTAATGCCAGAACATTGTCTGCAATTGAAGGAGTTGTAAGTGAAACCGCCTTGTCGCTGCAAACATCAACAGACTCGCTATAACAAATACGTGTTTAATATGGGGGTATTTTGTTTCTATAAAAAAACAATTATAATGAAGATTCGCACATTTACAGTTGGAACAATAAAGAATGCAAGTCCCAGGTAGCATTGATTTGTGAAATTATGGTCAAATTTGCTGTAAATTACACGCCCCTGGGCTTAATAACCCAACATATTCGCTAGCGAAACTGGACAACTTAAATTATTTTAAAGCTCTTTCATACTTGCAGTATTATTAAATTAAATGAAGCGCGCCCATGTTAATGTATTCATTTATGTTGTGATCATTGTTATGTACTGTAATGTTTACCATTTACAGATATTCTTAATAGTGCTTTTACTTTTCTAAACATGTGAATGTGGTAATTTTAAGGTAAATTAATTGTCGAGTAAAATTCGGTCTATTTGTAAATGTGTGTAGACATTGCCCGGTTTTCTTTCAAACCCAAACTGCAAGCTGCTTGTAGTTTGAATATGATTTAAGGATAACCTCATCTCCATTCCTATTAGTGTGGCAAAAACGCTTCTTTTTAACTAGGTATAAATTTCCTTATTTTCTGAGGTCTTTTGATTTTCAAAATAATTAAATTTATATGCATTTTCGTCTGCATGTAGCTAATAAACTGTACTGTATCTGTAGAGAAATAGCAAGGATTTCGGAGTTTCACTATTCCAGCGCACATGAATCAAGTTACAGTTACAGTTACAGTTCTGGCTCCAGTTTAATAAGTGCAGAAGGAAAATGAAATTACCTGGGCAGGTTTAGTGGACTGTTGCACCGTGCTGTCCGAGGCTCTGAGGGCGCAGGGGCGGCTGCAGGAGAAGGTGTTTCTTTACTATCCTTTAATCAGACCTTTCTTTCCTTTTCCATCTGATATGAAGGGGGTAGGTGATCTTTTATAGCGCTCGGCCCGTGCGGATTGGCCCCCGTGCTGCTGACGTCAGCCAGCCGGCGCTCGAGGTCGTGGAACACCCGCGGCGCAGTTTTTAAGATTTGGAAAGACACCGCAGCAGGGGCGCTGCGCTGCAGTTCATAGAAAAGTAAAAGATAGCAGAACTGTGAGCGAAGATGAAGGCGTTAGACATTCTTCTCTGCAATAGCCCATTTAAAGTTTACTACAACTTTAGTACATTATATTATTTAGAAATACGCCGGTTTGTGTTAACTAGTACCAATCTGTAGAAGCCAACACAGCTTTGCACAGTTTGCAGCGCATTCATTGCTTCGAGAGAAATGTTGTGGCATTTTCAGTTAAATTCATTTTTTTATTAGTAATAGTTTAATATACACAGTTTAACGCGGCAATTTCCGTCCTGTTGTAAAAGAGATGTAAAATTAATATCTCAGAAGAAATTGATGCATATGGACATTTTTCAGAGTCTGATTCATAACCTGTAAGATTTTCATTCATCCATTATCAGAAACATTCTCCGTGCGGGAAGAGCAACGTTACACTCTGGACGTGTAGTCAGGACGAATAGTCTATTGCAATCTAAACACAGAGGGACAATTTAGAGACACCAGTTAATCTAGTCCCGATGTCTTTAAAAGGTGGGACGAAACCGGGGTCCTAGACAAAACCCCCACTGCTAGAGAAAGGATACGAGTGGACTCCACACAGAAGGCGTTGAAGCCCAAAATAGGACCAGGAGCTCTGAGGCAGTAGCGCTAACCTCCAAGCCCAAGTGTCTCCTATAGGATTTATATCGATCAGGTGTACAGTATGCCATCTGAGCAGTGTACTAAGGAGCTGCATTGAAAAAGCATAATCGAAAATCAAAAGAGCACATACGTTTACGTAAATCGTTTACGACTGACTAATGGTTAATTTTGCTCAGTGTTACAGAAATGGAGTGCAATGATTGCAAAGTCACACAAACTAGACTCTGATTATGAGTGAAGAATATAGCATGTACTGTACAGTTAGTTAGTGTACCATCAAAGTGATTTATAATTTCACTTTCCCTTGGGATCTATACTTAGAACGATAAAGACTTCGCCATTGCTTTAGCAATTGACTGAGCATTTGTGTATCATGATAACGTCTTTAAAAAAAGAAAGGTCGCATACTGTGCAAGAGAATGCTATAGTTTAACTTACCTAATTACTCCTCAATAATCACGAGACTATTCCACCCATTCACATTTGTGAATTCGTGGGGAAAAAAAATGGGGATCATGCTTAAACCCTTAAAATATCATACCTTCCGCCGACACAAAAATAATCCCATTCACCTCCCATTAAATTAAAATAAATATGTTTAAAATGTGGCGTTTATGCAAAAATAAATCGACAGATTCAAAGAACAGGCTTGCCTAAAGTCTGGGCTCTGTTTCATCTATTAACCCCGAGACAGTTAACTGTGGGCGACAGGTGCTGGAAGATTTTGTCGTTTTGGGGAGGTGAGATTAATTATACACATTGTTTTAACTAGGTTTTCTAAATGAGACGGTTATTAATTCTATCTCCATTAACTTAAAAAATGAAATATTTATGTTAGTATAATTAAATTTAAAGCATCGACATTTTCCAAATTTAAAACGTGTAGTTAAGATCAAATTTAAACACTTCGTTTTTCAAATCACTGTTAATTTTTTCTGAACACTCACCAATTACCAATACAGATTGAAATTAAGCCCAAAGGGAGATGACTTTCAAGAAACATGCCAGTAATAAAATAAAAAGAGTAATAAAATGAAAATCTCTCATTAGTTTGTCCATTTATCAAGCGTTTGTATATATTTCGAGGTAAAATTAACAACAAGCAAAATTTTACACATTCTTAACTCTGGGTGATTTAATTCATAACCTAGACTCAAACATTGAAACATTTTAGTAACTATTGACAGAGGAAAAGATGACGATAATTTATTCCATGCAATACAAGAAATACAATCTTTACAGAAAAAGTATGATCTGCACAATATTGTTGGAGTGTTATTATTACCATAATTCCCAGAAACGCTTACATAAAGCGAACTTCTATCGTCTTATTGAGATTTTATCATTAGAACAAGTGAGGTGAAGAAGAGATTTAGTAGGCTAATTACGTGACATTATCACTTAAAATGTTACTTTTTTCAGTTTGATTCACTTTCCGACGTAAACACGGCGTTGAATTGATTTCTTATTTTAAAAAATCTTATGCCGTTTGATATTACTCGAGAGCTATGTAGATCTTAAAATACCTTAATCACAAAATAAAGGTTAGAAAAATAAATTTAATTTGAAAAAACGTTTCTGATCGTAGCTTTCCTATTCTAAGGTGTAACGAACTAAGTGTAATTCACACAAGAGGGAGACAAAGCTAAAAGCTTAAACAAGAGTGCTTTCCGCTTCTATTGCCCTGTCCTTGGTAATACCCTTATATAGGCAGTCTGTGGAAAGATAATGATATATATATACACAGTATGATACTTATTTACGGCTCCCACAGACCTGCAGAAACCAATATTCACCGTCTTAGTCTCTAAATAGTTGATTCAGTACAGCTGTAGAGGGAACTTGATAACCACAGGAGTGTGGTTTACAACCCAACATTCATCAGGCGTAGTAAGTTCATTAAAAGAGCAGAGCTGAAGATGCTGGGAGTCCATACATACCCTCAACTACATAGAAATCTGAGATCATGATTTAATCCTATTAGCTGAACAAAAGATGTTGTCAAGTATATTCATTAAATTAACATTCATTTAGAAAATATAAGGACAGGATTGATGACTTTACTGTGTTTTAACCTTACTCCCATACAACAGTTACCCCCGCTAAAAGTCATAACATCATAAAATAGCGCGCTCAAATAAATCAACTTTAAGCGCGGTCAAATATTATGGGATGAACTCACCAGGAGATCAGCTCCTATGGACAAATACTTTGAGAGATGATTCAGATTAAGTGTTCAAATATAGTGTTCAAATATATATATACAAACATTTCTGATGTTGTGTTGACTGAGAGGCCGAACGCCTAGACTAACATGGTCTCTACCGAGCGGAAGGACTATAAGTAAAAATATTTTCATGCAGAATAGCTTAGCTTTTTACCAAGCTGTCACAACAGACAAACAAACACACACACAAAAGCAGCTGACATATCAGCGTAGTCGTCTCCTGCATATTTCTAAGACATTTAGACACTAACGCGGTCCAATATTTTATTCATTAATTATTCTTTTCTTTCATGTGCGGGCCTCTGGTGACACGCCTTGCGCTCGTTATTAACATCAGAGCCTGTCTACACCATCGCGTGCAAAGCGGTTCCGCGAGGCAGAATCAGAGCTCCGGAGTCTTTCTGATCGAGGCACTGGCTTTTGACAGGTTGATAAATTTGTGCTACTGTGTAAATAAGAGAAGCGCTATATCCCCAAACGTAGGCTGAAGGTATTTATAGTATTTTGGAAATGATAAATGTCACGGGTTTAAAGCTTTCCATCCATCTATGTCCCTGTGTAGTTACTGTATGTCTCTCAAGTACTTCAGTCGTTCAACTATGAACAAGAATAAACGCTGCATTTAAAACAAAACAAAGATCTCATAGCCAACTTTAGTTGAAAGGTAATACAACATTGTTCTGAAAATGAAGAAAAAACACGCAACTGAGATAATATTGCCAGTGGCATGAAATTTGCGTCTAATGCCAGTCGACTGAAGTTTTTAAGACACAGTTTTCCTTCTGACAATTAAAATGTCCAGCTTCAGGAAAACGCGCCTTATCCAATGTGCACGTAACACAGGAAATAACCAGTGCCTTGATTTACAGCAGATTAATGCGGGCACAAATAAAAATATATATTTTCATATTTGTAACGGGAAAGTTTACTTAGAATATACATTTGCACGTTTTTTAAATACAAACTCACTAATGTGACGCCACTTATATCTGTATTTGTTCAAACGTTTTGAATAGTTGTGTATTCTTCATCTCCTTGGACTTCAGTGGCTTCCTCGCTTGCTTTCCCTAACGGCGATGTTACCCCTCAACTGCTGTTGCCAGTACCTGCGATGATGAATGCGTGGGAATGGATTTTTAATTCCCCGAACAAGTTGGGCAATAGCTGCGCTCTGGAGAAATATGCATTTTCAAACATCCCTTGCCAGATTATGCTCTCATTTCTCCTTCCCGGGACAAAGCCCTGAATGTTATCGCACGGAGGCACTTAGTTCTAAGAGAATTTGATAATACTGACAGCGAGCACCTGTTAGCTCGGGTTAAAGATTGCCCAAGTTGCGTGAGAGGGCTTTGGCCGGGTCCCGAGGTAAGGATGGTGGTGGAATTACATGTCGGTTCAGGGGTGAAAGGCTAAACAAGTTCGCGGCACGGTTTTTACTTCCTTGCCGTGAGAGTAGTAAGGCTTGCGTGAGAAGGAAGACAGACACACAGGACGTGAAGCAGTGGCGGACGAAATGCACGGCAAAGCAAGAAACTTTTTTTTGGTGTGTGTGTCTGACTAATTGAAATAGAGAGGCTAGAGCACAACAGTAAATCGCACGTACGAGTTCGCATGCAGTGTTCCTAAACGCTTTCGGTCCCAGTCTCAAAATGACAAATGAGAAGAAACACATTCTTTGGAAGTCTGAGCAGTCTTTGGAATGTCAGTAGCTACTCGTGTCTTGTTTGTGTCATATTAGATTAATTTTATTGGTTACATATTAACTGTTCTTTGATATTTTGCCAATATAGGGAATTCAATGCTGTTTAGCATTGAGGTTTACAGGACTGAAACGTTAAACTTAAAATCAGTTGTTTAAACTTGTAGCCTTATTCATATTAGTGACATTCATATTCAACGGCATACCCTCTGTGTACAAGAGCACCTGCTGTTCGATACTTTATTGCCATGACAACTAGACCGGGACCGGGAAGCTCCGCTCTACCACGAGCTACATCCCAACGCAATAGGCAAGAAGCAACCAGTGCCCCACTCTTTAGTTTTAAAGGAAAGTGTTTTAAAGCATAGAACTCTGCCGTTTCCAGCTTTAAAAGCACTTTCTTTTAGTTTCCACTGGAATTGATTGG